AGTGGGAGAAAGAGAATACAATTGGGATATGCAGAGAATTTAGATTAAAAAAAAAACCCAGAGACCTGAGGGTGACTCTCACACATTTCCCAATCTGAAGACAAGGACAGATGTGAACATAAGGTGCAGGATGTGTTCCTTATATTTAAGACTATTACATCATGTATGAAACTTTTACCTTATACAACTTCCAAATGATTACTGAGATTTCTGAATAATTTTTTCAAGGTGAAATCTTTCAGATTAAAAAAAATGCAACTAAAAACATATAATAAGGTAACTGAGTAATACTTTAGAATTTATTATTCCTTTTTGTATCAGTTTTCAAATACTTGAGTAAAGACAAACCAGATGTTTGGGTTTTGTTTTAGGTACACTCAACTTGATCAAAAAATCCAAAGGCCAATATTCAAATTCACTGTGATAAAAGCCCAGTTTTAAATCTATCGTAGGAAATTATTCACTTGTTCAGACAGCCAAAATTCAGTTTGGAAAATATTTATCTATCCCATGGTCTCAAAAATTCTCAGAAGAAAAGTGTCTCAATTTTCTCCAGTGTTCTTCATTAAATGACCTTTAATTTGGATTTAAGAAACATTAATATTTATTAAGTTCAAGGCATATTCATGTATTAAAAGATAATTTTTAGAAGAGGATATAGCATGACTTTCATACAGATATAAAATGATCATGTGTCAAAGCCTTTATTTAATTCATTAATTAATGAAGGAACCAGAAGATATTACAATTGGTTCAAAGGAGAATTAAAAGAACCACACATATACGGCATTAGGAATGGCAAAATAAATTTGCCTAACAAATGTAAAACTTCAAAACTGCTCAATATCCACAGAGCAATAATCAACTGAATCCCAATGAGATACAATTTGCATTTCTATGGACAAAAACCATTTGCATTACTATAAGTATTATATAACTTAGAGCAATGTAAAATAACTCAAAGACAATAAAAGATTCAGAGACCCGATAGAATCAGATAATCTGGACAATGCCTACTTTTCCATTGAAGACAACCACAATATCTTGGACTGTTTCTAAGTCTTTCACAAGTACTCTCTACAAAATACAAAAAGTACTAACTCCCTGTGCCCCAATGCATAAAATCTAGAAGGAGGGGAATGAAGAAGACAAAGATAAACATAATAACTGAATAGATTATAAAGCACAGTGGGATATATCCCAAAAGACTGAGCTGATAATTTCCCCATACACACAATATGCCCAAGTAAAGAAGGTATCTGTTCTGATTGGATGGTGCCTGTGCTGGATGCATACTTAAGCCCAGACAGAAACAAAGTACTATGAGAAATCAGAGAAAGGAAAGAGTTATAGTCCCATCAGGAGCCATGGGCTTACTTCATGGAAGAGGTAAAATGGAGCAGGTTTTATTTATTTTTTTTTTTTAAGATTTTTATTCATTTATTTGACAGAGACAGTGAAACAGGGAACACAAGCAGGGGGAGTGAGAGAAGGAGAAGCAGGGAGCCCGATGCGGGGCTCGATCCCAGGACCCGGGATCATGACCCGAGCCGAAGGCAGACGCCTAAAGACTGAGCCACCCAGGCGCCCCTGGAGCAGGCTTTAGAGGAGAAAATTATGGTAATCATTTCAAAGACTACATAGATCAAACCAGCACACTGAACACTCCAAATATAAACAACTGTCTCAGGGCGCCTGGGTGGCTCAGTCGTTAAGCGTCTGCCTTCGGCTCAGGTCATGAACCCAGGGTCCTGGGATCAAGTCCCGCATCGGGCTCCCTGCTCTGCGGGAAGCCTGCTTCTCTCTCTCCCACTCCCCCTGCTTGTGTTTCCTCTCTTGCTGTGTCTCTCTCTGTCAAATAAATAAATAAATAAAATCTTTAAAAAACAAACAAACAAACAAATGTCTCTGTCAATCAGACCTCAATAAAGCTGAAGTAGGGAAAAAAGAAGACAGGCTTTAAACAAGTAGAATGCATGGTGCAAGGAAAAAGGTGTTTTAAACAAAGGTTCGAGGAGGAGAAAAGTGACAGAAATGTAATGTTCCTGGCTTGTAGGTTAGCATGGTTGAAGGAAATGAGAGCTAAATGGAAGACTTGGTGGTTTAGGCCAAACCACAGCCAACCCTCAACACGATAAGAGGCTGGGAATTCTTTGTGTCCTGACAGGAAACCCCCAAAGTTTTTAAGCAGGGAAATGACAAGACCAAATATAAGCCTCAGACAAGTAACTCTAGCAGCAATTGGCAAAAAAAAGAGATTGAAAAAGTGAGATATCAGAAAAAGGAGTAGTAGGAACCTATTGCAATGGTCAGGTTGAAGCCTGAACCAGAGCATTCTGGAGAAGGAAAGAGCTTTGAGGAAACCAGAATAAAAAGGATACAGTAATTCACTAAGTAAGTGATTTGGGGTTTTTGACTGTGCACTCAATATTCGTTAAAATTGGAGCATGAACTCCTCCAACTAATGCATAGTTATAAAAAATGTACTGCTAATATAACTAATATAATGCATGTAATTTGAAACATTCACACATGCTCACAAACTTTTTTTTGCTTTTAAAGAGAGTGGTTTAATTCATGTTTGGATGCTTAATTTCTAAACATCTTGTTAATTTCCATGGCTTTGTATTAGTAGTAACTCACCTCCAAGCACCACAGATTTATAGCAAGATCTGTGGTTTACAATGAGCAAATGTAAATTCTCATTTCAAATAATCTGGATAATTTCAAAATTTTTTTCTGATTTCTTACAGATTTAAGTTGTCCATGTCTGTGTATGTCATGGATGATACACAATCTATGTACATATCTGATATATCTATATGTGTGTATATGATAATAGGCACACTTTTTTTAAAAAACATGTGAGGTAGTTGATGAAGAGCTTGTAGTAGCAGAAGATTCCATTCTACACATTCTTGTTTGCTAGTGCTTTTATAAATTAGAATCATCTTCAATTCCCATTCACCATAGGGAATTTTAAAGTCACCATCTATTTTGTGAGTTTAAGTAAAAGTAGATAATACAATCTGTGAATCCATTTGTTAGGCTCACAGGCACAATCAGTTTAAAGTCAACAAATAAGTGAGCCATTGTTGATCTCTTCACAAATGTGAATTCCCACACTCCCCTCAGAATTCCTCTCCATGTGCACATGACATGACTCTACCTATAGACCAAGTTAGGGTACAAGGGAAGTACTTATATGAAATAGTAATAAAACCTTATTTTCCTGTAGTTAGGAATATTGAAATAACTTCTTAGGCCCAAAATAAGCCATTCCTGCCCAGGGGTGCCATATCAGCAAATCAAAACTTTTCTAAGTTTTGTGTCTCTTGTAAATGCCCCCACTTAACCAGAAATGCAATGAGCCAATTCGCAAATGCCAAGCTAGCTCTGGGCTGTATACTTATTTCCTTGTTTCTTCTCATCCCAAACAAAGTTGACTGTGTGACTCCAGCCAATTAGATATTGTCTCTTTTTCTCTTCCTTGGTTCTTTTTTTATCCAATTAAAATTCCTTGCCTTCCACCACATTTTGCAGTTCTGTGAAAGGGGCTATCCGTTTCATGAGGTGTTAAGTGAAGTTTGTTTTTGTCACCAAAATTATCTTTTAAAATCATTTGTAACAGGAATTCACGATAAATAGAAGTTTTAGTACTTTGTTCTGACTATCCAATGGCTCATCTGTGATCACACAACCAACTGAAAACCCATACTTGAGATAAAGCAGAGGAGAAAGATGAGTCAAAGATTAGCAGGCATGACTTGAAGGACAGTGGTGTCAATAACCTAAATGGTAAACATAACAGGATGAATGGGTTTGGAAGGAAAATAAAACTGGTTTCCGACACATTGAGTCTGAGGTACCATGAGAGACTTGATGAAGCTATCCCTGAGATACATGAATGAGGTCTGGAGCATGTGAGAGGAATCTAAGTTGCATGCAGGATCCAATGTGATAGTTGAAGCCAACTTGTAACGTAGGTTTCCCAAGAAGAAAAGTAAGCAAACAAGAAAACTTTGAAAAGTACTTACATATAAGGATTTGCAAAAGCAAGAGGATTCTTCTTGGAGATGCATGAGAAAGGAGACAGAAGGATGTAGTGTCACAGAAGTCAAAAAGAAAAGATTTAAGAAAGCAAATATTCCAACAATGCTGTGCAGGGAAGAAGGATAAAGTTAGGATAGAGACATTGGGTTTGGTCAGTTAGGATGCGGCTGACATTTGAACAAGTGGTTTAAGTAAAGTAATAGGAGAAGTTAGTTTTCAAGTTCTTAAAAATCAGTAAGTGGTAAAAGAAAGAAAGAAAAGGGAAGGAAGGAAAGAAAACAAAAGAAAGAAAGAAAAGGAAGGAAAGAACGAAAGAAAGAACAAAAGAAAGAACGAAAGAAAGAAAGAACGAAAGAAAGAAAGAAAGAAAGAAAGAAAGAAAGAAAGAAAGAAAGAAAAAGAAAGAAAGAAAGAAATCAGATTGTTCCTTCAAGAAGTTCCATAGGGAGAAGAGAGATTGTGTAGTGAATTAAGGAAGGCGCTTTAAATAGGAAACATTTGAGCTTATATATAGGACAAACAGTGAAGAAGGATAAATTGAAGGTAGAAATAAAGAAGGGAAACTTACGAGACCAAGTTCTCAAATAGGGGTATACCAACACACAGATGAAAGAGACAGCTTTGGTGGAGGAAGAAGGAATTTTTCAAATCAGAAAAGAAGTATAGTTAATAATACTGTATAGGGTATTTCAAAGTTGCTGAGAGAGTAGATCTTAAAAGTTTTCATCACAAGAAAAAAATCTTTGTAATTATGTACGGTGACTGATGTTAACTAGAATCATTGTGGTGATCACCTTGTAATACTTTATATATAAATGTCAAATCATTACATTGCACACCTGAGATTAATATGTTATGTCAATTATACCATAATAAAAAATTAGATCAATATAAACGAATGAATGGATATAGTGAAACAGAAACAATTTAGACCAGAAGATTCTCACCTCAAAATTGTGCTCCTCCTACTGTTCTGGCTGCTCCATTTTGTCTCCTTTTCCTGTCCTCTTTATCCCCATAACCTCCTGTGGTAAAATGAGAAATCGATATTTGGTTAGAAGAAAAGGGATAAATGTGGTAGTTGTTTCTGTTTTTGCTTTTGTTTTTAAGTAATGCACAGTTGAAAGTGTTCCTATCAGATGGTTTCCCTTTTTATCAGATTATTAGGGGGTGAGGTAACTGGCAGAGCATTAGTAAACATTCTGGATGGTTTAGGGGTTGGCAAATGAACATGGAGCCACTATCTAGTTTTTAACATCATCAGATTTGAGTTTTGAAAAGTTCAGTCTGGTTAGAGGTATGGCAGAGAAGCAGTAAGATTGGATTTTTGAGCCGGAATTGAGGAAGATGAGTTAAGGGAATAGGAAATTCAGGCAAGAAATCATGCCTTAACCAAGGCAACAGCAAGGGGATAGAGCAGAGGCAGTATATTTGAGAGTTATTTAGAAGGGAGAATGGGAGTGGAGCCAGTGGAGACCTCAAAGTCAACTACTCTTTCTAGATACTTGTTCAGAGAAGAAAAGAGAGCTGTAGAAGTAAACACACAGAAACAGTTCATGGATGTATTTCACTAAAATGAGAAACTTATTGGTGGAAGGGAAATAGCCAGGAGAGAGGGAGAGTTTAAAGAAGACACAGAGAGAGGATGATTGACGTAGGGATGACTGATGGAGTCATCAACACCCCAAGAAAGGGGGACAGGAAGAGATTTAGAGCAGGGGAGAGGGATTAGCTTTAAACTAGAGGGAAGGAAGAATGAAGTCCACAAGCTATTTACAATATTTCAGAAAGCCTTCTGGAAATTGCAATTAAATAAAATGTCAAGTTTCTTTACTTTTGGCAGGCATTAAATCAACCCTGCGGGCTAACACTGGTTATCACACGCTGATCAGAAATTCTAATTTGCTGTTGATGACATCATAGAAATTTCTAGGATGTTATTGGCGGACCATATGCTGTTAGCAGAGTTATTTATCTGGTTTTTACAATATCTGATTTAATTCCTTCAGCATGTGATCAACCTTGGATCAGAAGAGTGACAGCCAAAATTAAGCGACCATTTCCAGGGGACAGTGCCTAGTGTTTGTACACTTATTTAACTTTATTGCTTATTAGCATTACATCCATGACAGTGATGTATGTGATTTCATTTAAGTGACAAAATCTTTCAAGATATGGGGTCCACAGATGAAAACATAATAAAAAGAGTCCTTGGATGAAAAGAATTGGGATGACAAGATCTCGATAGTCCCTTCAAATCTAACATTCTATAATTTTAAGAGGGGCTCATAAACACAAGTTCAGGAATGGCTAAATGGGAAAGTTGTAAAGAATACTTGAAAACACCCCAACTAACCAGTGACTCACTTTAAACAAGGCAAGGAGATAGGAAAGCAATATAAATAACCATTCCCATCTGGAGGGCAGCACAGGAGAAAACAAAAACAAAGAAAAAGCTGGGTGAGGGATAACAAGCGCTTCATAGAAGCAAAGGCATACTTGCTTTATCTATAGCCACAAAATATTAACCAACTTTAGGAGCAGGAATGATTGTCACGAGCACACTTTTTAATGTTTGGCGCATCCACCTAGCTAACCCTTACGTAAATACAAATGAAGGGTGAGGATCTTTTCGCCCCAACACCTACACTAAGCTAGGCTCGTTCTGTACCTTCTACTCTGTACTTCGCGGAATCGGGCAACTGAGGATTTTTTTTTTTTTAAGTTTCAAGAGAAATGGGCCAAGAAAGTAAGTTAAAGGGTTGACTGGTCTTCGTGGGTTGGGTGCTAGAGCGATCAGCAATTTCAACACCTGTCAAGCATCTAGGACCAGCCAGACTGACTGGATAGGTTGACCATAAGCCCCGTGATATCACATGCAGCTGGGCAGGTTCAGGGGTGGTAGAAAGCTCGGAAAGGGTGTGTTGGGGGGGTGGAATAACGTGTACTTTTCTTCAGGAACTGTAGCTCTGTGTGCCCCAACCTGGGCTCAGGTAGTGGCCGGAAAGACAGGAGAAAGCCCCAGGGCTCGCTTTCGGGCTCGGTTGGACCCTTCGTCCCCTCTACTCACATCCTCATGTCCCTGCCGCTGCCGCCGCCCGCCGGCGCCCCTGACCCGCTGACCCCGGAGAGCTGTCTGGGGCCCGTGACCCCGGAGCACCGGGCATCCGGACCCCCCTCGCAGGCGCAGCCGCTATTAAGGCAGGAGGCTAAAGGGGAGGAGGAGGAAGGGGAGGAGACAGGCGTCCAGGGCGCCTGGGGAACCGGCACCGCCGAGCAGGGGTGGCGAGGCTGGGGTAAAGCCGCCGAGGCGGCCGCGGCCGAAGAGGCGCAGGTGGAGGCCCGGCGCGCCGCGGCGGCGGGGTCAGGCTCCCCGGCGGGAGGCGCGGGTGGCGGCCGCGGGGGCTGGCGGCGGCTCCTCGCCTGGCTGCGGCGGCGGCAGCCCCAGTGCTGCCCCTGTGCGGCGCCCCTTCCCCGCTCCGCCGCGCACTGTTGTCATGGAGGAACCAAGATGGCGGCTCTGGCCTACAACCTGGGCAAGCGGGAGATCAACCACTACTTCAGCGTGAGGAGCGCCAAGGTGCTGGCGCTGGTGGCCGTGCTGCTCCTCGCAGCGTGCCACCTCGCCTCCCGCCGCTACCGAGGTGAGCGGGCCCTCCCCCTGCCTGGGCCGGCCGGGGGAGGAGGCGACGCGGCGGCTGGAGGCCGCCCCCCTCGCCCAACACACGCCCACGCTCACGCGTCCGCCCGCGCGCCCGCCCGCCCGCGCGCCGGGCCGGCGGCGGAGGCGGTGCCCCCACGTGCCCCCAGGTGTCCCCGGCCAGGGGCCGGGCGCCCCTGGCCGACTGAGCGGACCCCAGTGCGCGCCGCCCCTAGAGAAGGGCCCGTGGTCCTGGGGCCCCTGAGCCGCCTGCGCTGCGGTCGGGCCGGCCGGCCCGGGCCTGGCGCGAGTTGCTGCCGGGGCCCGGGCTCCTGCGCGAGCTGCGCCGGGGGAGCCGCGCCAGGCCCGGGCCTCGCGTGCACCGGGTCGGACCCTCGGGGGCCAGCCCGGGGCGCCGGAGGCGGAGGCCCCGCCTGCCAGGGGCCCCTTTGCCAGAGTTGGGGTCGTCGGTTCTGAGCCCGAGGGGTCCGGCTCTTTAGCCTTTGTTTACTCCGGCCTCTGCCCTGTGCCGCCGAGCCGAGCTGTTGTTGGACAGCGGCAAGGGCCGCCCCATTTTCCTCTGCCGCCTGGGCGACAGCTGGCAAAGGATGCCCTTGGCCAAATGGAGGAGGTGTCGCCCAGCCTCGGTGATCCAGAAACGTTTCAAGGGTTCTGGCTGCACACTTTTTACAAAGTAAAGGCACTGGGGCAGATTATTTGAAAGGAAGCTGTGGGTTGACAGGAGTCGAGGTGGGCAAGGAAGTTACGTCGGAAGCAGTTTGAAAGGAGGCCTTCGATGTGGGTTTTGAAATTGGTGTAAAGGGGAAAAGGAAATATGACCTCCTTATTTCAGAACGAATTATCTTTCAGTAATCAAGGGATATTTACTTGTTGATTGATTTTTTTTTTTTCTAATTTTCTCTGTTAAAATACCACTAGCAGAGAGGCCGACGAGCTGAGGTTAACTTAATAATGATAGGATCTTTTATTTTTGGCTCTTAGTATTATCGAAGCCATTATCTGGAGAGCTCTGGGTGACTATGAGATTAATTGGTCAAGATGTAATGTGTAATGGACAGGTGCACATTTAACGCTGTTCCCATTTAACTTCGCACCCACTTTGGCAAAATATCCAGTAAATGGGGCATTGGAATCTGAGCTCTGTTCTCATCCCAGGAGATCTTTCAAAGTGTAGGATATTTTGAGCAGTTTTGCTGCTTTGTTTTCTCCAATTCTTGAGGATTAAAAATCTTTAGTACCATACTGGATGAATAGTTCTGTATATAAATGCGCTGAATCGATTTTAAAAGATAAATTCTTTATACCCTTTGGCCTTTCTCTTTCACCCTCCTATAGGTCACAGCCATATGATCTGGCTGGACTTTGGTTCATTGGCAATGGCTCTAACAGAAGTCAAACTTTCATATGTAAAGTGAAACCAGCAGTGTTGATGCATTAATTCGTGTTCGTTTTGAAGAAAATTTCCTAACTACTATTAATCATTTTATGTTAGTTTGGTATAAGATGACAGTAACCTAACTCGATCTTGTCTATGTGAAGGTAGTGAAGATAAATGTTATAACTGTGGTGCTACCATGCTAAAGGTAAATCTCTGGTCCCCCTCCCTTTAACTTTATATTGTGCTTTTGTCTTTTGATAAACTTGGATACTAATTATTATAGTTAGATTCTACATTTCATCCTTTCAAGATCTGTCATCAGCAGGGAAAACAGAATGTCAGATGGAACTTTATGAGTCAGTGTAGCAATCTGGGGTTGTTTATAAAGCCTCCTCCAGAAGCTAGTCACCAGCTTCCGTAGGTGCTTCAGTGTCTTCAGCGTGAAGCAGTACACCTGGTGTGTGTACTTGCTTAGACTGAATGTCAAGAACTTGAGCCAGACACTGTTTGGGAAGAATAATGATCCTACCAAGAAGTTTTTAGACATCCTCATGCTTTGGCAGAGTCAAACTGCATGAAATGTAATGCTCTTCACACAAAGATAACCCTACACTTGCATCACAATATCATAAATCTTTAGAATAAGAAAGGACTTTCTATTAGTTACAGAGGTTTATGCTTTATATTAAAATCTCCAGTGTGTGGGTGTACGGACACCTCAGGCAAGGTAGAGTGAATGCAGTTCGAATACATATCTTCAGTATCTCTTGCTTTATAAACTATAGAAAGGAAAGAATTGCGTATGGCAGAAAGTAAGGCTTGGCAAACACGACATGCTAACTTTGAGTACTTATTATATGCCAGGTGCTGTGCTACGAAGGGTTTTACATGTTTGAACTCCTTTTGTCTTTACAACCATTCTGTGAGGTAGCTAAAATTACCATATTTCATCCTCCATTCTATCCCCCCCACCACCATTTTTGACATCTCTGTCATCAGGATGAATTTTTAAAACTTTATTGCATGTCAAAGTTTAATTGATAACATTTTTCTTAGTGTTACATAAAATAATGATGTATCTTATAATCAGTGGTCTTAGATCCAGCGAATTACGGTATTATTTACATTTTAAAGATGAGGCATGAGAGGTTAAGTTGCCTAAGGACACACAATTAGTCAGTGATTGAGCTAGGATTTACAACCCAGTTAGTCTGCCTCATGCCATTAGGTTATAGACTGCCTTTCTCAGGGCTCCTTAGACAGTGGTGATGTATAGAAGATGGAGTGAGAAAGCATTTTCCAGAGGGACATGGATTAAATACTTTAGAAACACTAATTCAACCTCACAGTATCAGTCAAGAGTTTTTCCTTTTCTTTTTAAAATAAAATGATTTTCAAAAAGTTGAATGTGTAAAACTTCAAAATCTGACCAGCTTACTTTTTATTACCTACCTATGTTTATCTTTTCCCTTCTTTCTAAACTCCAGGCTCACAGTCACAATATGCTTTGCCCTTTTACATATCTTACAGATACCTGATTTTCTCTGCCCGCAGTGACCTCTCTCCTTAAAAGAAAGTACAGATTTTTCTTTCAGAGTCTGATTCAGATGTCACCATCACAGAAATAAGAATTAGGGATTTAGTGTTTCTATAGCAATTAGTAAGTACTTATGTTGTATCATAATAATTTGTATCCATCTTCCCCACACAATCTGTGAGCTTCCAAGGGTATTTTATTCATCTTTATATTATCCGAGCTTAACACACAGAAGGAACTCCATAAACAATAATCGGATAAATAGATTTTCAAAATCCTTATTTCCTTCTATTTTTCTCCTTTCATTTGGTTCTTTTGGTTTTCATTGAATTTCATGTTCTAATAGTATATTCTGATCTCAACTTCAGAAAATAAAGGGGTTTTTTTTATTAATATTACTTTCACATAAAATAGTAGAATGACATTTTAAATAATAATCCGATTAACTATATTTCTTCTGAATTTTCTCAATCTCTAACATTACTAAATCACAAAATTTCCATTAATATTGTGATTACAGATTAAAAACATCATTTCTGTGACAAGAGGCCAGTAGGTCTCTTAGCCTTTTCTCTCTTTGCCAGAAAGATCCTGATATATGACACCACCTGTAATAGAGGCACTCCTAGTTTGTCAAATGAAAAATGTAAAAGGTGATTTTTCTTTTTTTTCCTTTTTTTTTTAAGATTTTATTTATTTATTAGAGAGAGAGAGCACAAGCCAGGGGGTGGGGGGTAGAGTCAGAGGGAGAAGCAGGCTCCCCACTGAGCAGGGAGCCCAATGTGGGGCTCAGTCCCAGGACTCTGGGATCATGTCCTGAGCCAAAAGCAGACACTTAACCAACTGAGCCATCCAGGTGCCCCTAAAAGTGATTTTTCAACACAGACCAAAGTGTGACCTTGCTGAATTTTAGGCAAACAAAATATTCCACAAATCATGTTAAAAACTTTATGGATATTTTCATGGTTGGTAGTAAGAAACAGATAGCTTCGGTAGGATGATTCAGCCAGTCTAAGGGTGCAGTATGCCAGAGTTGTTCTATTGAAAGGGAAATATAAGCTATGGTTTACTTAGCACATTAGATGTTTTCCTTACTTGTTATATTTTGTTTTTCAGCTTTTTTTTTAACACGTGTTTGTCTTTTTACTTACTTTGTTTGCTTTTAGTATCTTTATAGTATAGAAAAATTATACATAAAAACCTGAGACTTTAGATTGACAAACCAAAATGCTTATGGTTAAAATAATAGACTGAAGACAGCCATTCGTCTAGATAATCTTAGTATTGGAGATAGCTGAAGTAGAGAATTCTATCCCTCTAGTTGTGTGTGTGGTTTTTTGTGGTTTTTTTTGTTTGTTTTTATTGTGTTTCTAGCTTAATTTATCTGAGCACTAGGCAACTTGCATCTCACACTGGTTGTTTTAAACTAGCTATCAAAATTATATGAGACAAATGAAAATAATGACTGGGATTTTTTGTTTTCTTTTGTTTGGGGTTTTTCTGGGTGGATTTTGAAAGGGAAATATGTGCCAGCAGATATTTGTATATACTTAGTATACATGATAAAGATGTGGGACTTCAACTTATTTTAACATCTAGGTTTCATTTAGTGATTTGGTCCAAAAGTACTTTTCAGGAAAAGAGAAGTTGTTTTAGAGTA